CAGACCTACTAAAACGCTTTGACAAACCCACCAAATCCCACAGTCCCCTACCCTCAACCTTGTACCACACAACAACTTTGTAATTTTCGTGACTCTGCTGCAAAAATAATACAAGGGACACACAAGAGGAACATGTTTTTATTGTCCTTTGGAGCTGAGCAAGGGGGATGTGAGAGAAGCGGGCACAAAGCCCTTTATGTCTGTGTGTGCGCGGGAATGGAACTGGCCTGCTGGCTCAGTGGAGGCTATGCATGTTCCTGTTGAGGTGGTTTGGTCAGTGAGAGCATTTCCCTCAGCTATCTGGCCTGGCAGGGGACTATGAGATCTGACGTGCTAGATGTAGATGAGGGAGGCTCTTTCCTGTGAGAGGGTGGAAACCTGTAGGAGTAGGAAAGTGGGTCAGTGTCTAGTTTGACAAAGGATCTGCACAGCCAGGGAGCAAATTGACAGCATGTACTGTTAGAATATATGGCACAATCCTGGACAAATCACACCAGCCGCAGGTCTCACATGGGAGATTTTATTGGCAGAGGTGGCCTCTGAGGGGTGAGAAGGAAGAAGGGGCTACAGGCTGGGGGATGAGTCTTTTATCTGGGCCATGACGCGTGTGACAAATGTGCAAAGGGTGCCATGGCAACGGACACAGGAGCAGAGCTGTAGATGAAGTATCTCCTTGCTGGGTCCAGGAGATGGCTGTCCATAGATGCACCTCATGCTAACATTCCTCTCTTTTTCTTATCAGAAAGAGAGAAAAAAGGGGAGGGGCCAATGGTGAGGCGGGAATAGGGCGTCAGATCTCTTCAACTGCTTCCTGCTGTCTAGGGGTGTCAATTTCTGAAGCACCACGGCTGTCAGGGAATCGATCTGTCTCTGGAGGCAGAGCATGGTTTGGGTCACTGGGAAGAGAACTGATTGTGTAAGGTTAGGGAGGAAGTCAGCCCTGCTGTTCCAACACCTAGTTACTCCCAAAGCAACCATATACACTGAATGAAAAGAGGTTGAGGGGCCTTGATTTCTTTTAGGACTAGATAGCTATAATTCTTTAAATTGGGGGGAGCGACGGAGCGGCTCTCTGAATGGGAGAATAGGGGGTTCATCCTCAGGGGAGCAGTATATTATTGCTGCAGCTCCCCTCTTTCCCCACATCAGTAAATATTGAGGGGCTCCAACTATGGGCTTTTTTGAAAATAGTTTGGGGGACAGTCATTGCAATGGTCTTCTTTATCCATTCTTCAGCTAAGGGGCATCCAGATTGTTTCCAGTTTCTGACTATTACAAATAAAGCTGTTATGAACACAGCTGAGTAAACATCCTTATGGTAGGTATAGTTGGGTCTTGAGGTAAATTGTTGATTCCCAATTTCCTGAGAACCCACCATATTGATTTCCATGATGGTCGTACAAGTTTGCACTCCCACCAGCGATGGAGGAGTGTTCCCTTGCTCCACACCCCCAACAACATGAGCTGTCACTTGTGGTTTTGATCTTAGCCACTCTGACAGGTGTAAGATGGATTTGCACTTCCCTGATGGCTAAAGACTTTGAACATTTCTGTAAGTGTCCTCAGTCATTTGAGATTAAAGGAAATCACTTTCAGGGTGAGAAGCTCAACAGATGAATTATTGGCTTTATTTATTTAGTTTTATTAAAAACCCAGAGCCAACAAGATGGCTCAGTAGGTATAGGTGCTTGCCACCAAGACTGATGACACAGTCCAACCCCTAGCTCCATATGGTCAAAAGAACTGATTCCCAGAAGTTGTCCTCTGACGTCTACCCATGCAGTGTAGCAAGCATTCACGTTTTAAAGATTTAATGTAGGTATGTGCACATTGATCTGGATGCCTGAGGAGGACAGAGGTGCAGGATGCCCCGAAGCTGCAGTTACAGGCAACATGGGTGCTAGGATTTGAACTGAGATCTGCGAGATCAGTACAGACTTTTAACCTCTGAGCCATGTCTCCAGGTAGACACACAATAAAAATGTCAAATCCATGTTCCCTGATGCCCAAAAGACTTCATTTAAAAAAGATAACGTTATGGCTCAGTGGTTAAGAGCACTGACTGCACTCCCAGAGGTCCTGAGTTCAACTCCCAGCAACGACATGGTGGCTCACAGCCATCTGTAATGAGATCTGATGCCCTCTTCTGGTGTGTCTGAAGACAGCAACAGTGTATTCATATATAATAAATAAATCTTTAAAAAAAAAAAGATAACGTTAAAGAAAACTAGCTCCTCATGGAGTCTGGCTCACCCTTGAAAGGGGTTGTGCAACTCTAGCCTTTCTCTTTCCCATTCACATCCTTACAGTGAGGTAAGAGCTCTGTCATGCCAGAGTGGTTACATTGCCACAGGCCCAAATGATACTGTACTGAAAACCCCAAAATCATGAGCCAAAGTAAACCTTGTAGCAGTTGGTGATCTGTCTTTGTTGTACTGAAGGGTCCTGTGCTAAGACCGCTAATGACTTTCCTACAAAACCTGTGGAAGTACTGTATGGGGTAAAGCAAGTGAGTCCATTATGCTGTTCTTGCTAATTGGAGTCCTCTATTGGTTGAGAGGGCTCCAGGCTCCACTTAGATGCAACATGTTCTGGTGGCACAGCATGACAGTGTAGTGTCTAAGTCAGCTTCCACACTGGCTGCAAAAAAATAACACATTTAAAAAAAAAAAAGGAAATAAATATTTTTATAGTCTCATTAAGTGACAGCTTCTCTCTGCTCTCCTGGTGCTCTGGTCTGGGGGGAGGGGAGCAGACCTGGCTTGCTTCCATACACCATGAGCCGTTTAGCAGAGAACTTGGCCACTGTGCAGAAACACTTTAAGTGAATTCCATGGGTGTGGAGACATCCCTGCAATACCTCCCCTTTCCTTCCCTTTCAGAACACATAGCTATGAGCTGCCAAGACCCACCTCACACATCCACAGGCACTATTTTTGGTTGTTGTTAGGGCTGGAGGCAGGGAACCCTGAAATGACTTCGCCTATACTGTCAGTTCTTCTCCAAGGGCTGCTCTTTCGGGACCTTGGCAAAGATATCTGCCTTCTCCCCTCCAAAGCCTGGGCCTGCTTGTGGTTCTGCAGCACGATAGTGCAGTATTTAAGTCAGCTTCCACACTGGCTGCAAAAAATAAAACATTTTAAAAAGAATGGAAGGAAATAAATGTTTTTATAGTCTCATTAGCTTTCTCCTATCATGAAGCTTGGTCTGCACAGCAGAATTTTTTTCCCTTCAAATGAATATTTCAAATGCAATAGCTCTCTATGGAGAAAGCTACTTTAATGGCAACAGTCTTGAAGATGGTCTACTGAGATTGTTACCAAGGACTATTGTTCCTCAGGGTGGAGGAACAATGAAATGGGATGCGGTTTGGTTAAGCAAACTAACAAATACTGGAGACAAGAGCATTTTCTCTGAAAGTAAAAGAGAAAAGAAAAGAGGTGACCTTTAAGTGTTCGGTCTCGAGGGCTGCAGAGAGGGGCGAGGACATGAACAGACTGGGGAGTCACTGAGGTGCTTGATAAAGAACAGGAGGTGGCAGGCCCTTTGGCCTTAAGTCTCTCTCCCTGACTGCCCTCCTAACAGTCTGAGCAGCTGGTTCAAACAGAAGCTCAGTTTCTGAAGTTGACAAACTCAGCAGAAGGTTACCTTCCCCGTAGCCTAGCAGGGGTCTAAAACCCCCTCTCACACTGCTACAAACGCAGTCCCATTTGTGACCTTTGAGGGACCCAGTTTGAAGCTGAGAATTTAATTAAGACTTGGGAATGAATATGAAAAACCTGAAGGGTTTCTAAACAGTAACCACAGGACATAAGCACCCCCGTGTGGCCTTCCAGTTCCTGGGTTATGAAGATGAGGGGGTCAGTGGAGGCAGGCACATTCCACACCAAGAGCTGCGCTTACACTCCAAAGGCAAGCACACCTATCCATCTGACTATATGTCATTTGCAAAAGTTAGGCAAAGAGCTTAAAACTCTTGGAAGGGAACAAGCTATAGTTTCCTTATGAGCCCTCCGTGGGGATTGTAAACTACTTCATAGAAGCCATTTCAATACTCCAAAGGCTTTATATATCTGACTTTGTGAGAATCCTACAGACACACAAAGGTACAAGACACAAAATTTCTCAGGATTAATTCAGAGTCCTAATGAAAACAAGAAACTCAGCTACGGCTGATTCAAGGATAAAAGACCACTTCCCAGCTTTCATCTTAACTTCCCTGCATCTTACGTTTTTTTTCTGTTACTATGATAAAATATCTGCAAAAGCAATGTCAAGAACGGTCTATTCTAGCTCAGGCTTCAGGGTCCACTGCCATCTTAGCAGAAACGGCAGGGCAAGCAGGCAGCAGGCAGCTGAGGAAACTGATCAAATTGTGTCCACCAGTCAAAAGAAAGCAACATATGCCAGTGTTCCCCATTCTTATGGGGTGGGCTTTGCTGCCCAGAGAGTGGCCCTGCCCATAGAAAGCAGGTCTTCCCACTTCAACTAAAGTACTCAACCTCCTCATCATGCCCACTGGCCCACTGCCCAGGTGATTCCAAATCCTATCAAGTTGACAATTAACAGGAGGCAGAGGCAGGCGGATCTCCGAGTCGAGGCCAGCCTGGTCTACAAAGTTCTGGGACAACCAGGGCTACACAGAGAAACCTGCCTCAAAAAAACAAACACAGAGAAAGTGCTTTGTGCCTTAGTGTGGTGAAACATGCCTATCATCCCAACATTACGGAGATTAAAGGAAGACCCCTTCTCTTAGGACAAAAAAAAAGGTGGGCAGGTGTGGGTAGCATGGAGACAGCATGGTCACACACAGCACTGCTGGGCACTGCACGAGGACAGGTAAGGAACCCAGGACACAGGGTGCTGCTGGACCATCGTTCTTCTTCGTCCAACAACATTCATTTAAGTATTACAACATCTGTGTGACCTGAGCTGAACTATGTGTATCTGTGTAGCCCAAAGGACAGGGAGAGTCACCAGGCAGTCACCAGAGCCACGACTGTTCTCTTGGATGCAGACAAACTTTAATTGCAAAGCCTTCGTGTACAGCACATTGCGCAATGACCAAGCAGAAGAGCGGCTCACATTCAGAGACAAGAACATAGACACTGTTCGCGATCCCGACAGTCTAGAGCAGTCCACATGGGAACAAGCTTTCCTATCTTTCTGAAGACTGCCTGACATTTTAATAAATGATTAGGCATACAAGAAATTCAAAGTAGGTTATGCCTTGCAAGGAAAGAGTGTGAACACCTTTTCCCAAACATACATGGGTGGTTCTGCTCAACAAAGCAAGGGATTTGCTGAGGCAAGACACTGAGGAAAACTGAATGGAGTCTTTCAGGGCCAAGCAAGCTGGTCCCCCTCTCACACAGAGAGACACATCAGCCATAGCCCAAAACAACGGGCAGCCCGGGCAGCTCTTGCCCTCACTGTCCCTCACTATCGCCTCAGGGTCTTTTATTTAGCCCCAAATCCTTGACTAGCAAATTTCAGAATATCACTGAATTTGGGGATAATAAGGAAATTCTTATATCACATCTGTAAGGGTTCCTAACTACCTAATTAGAGCAATTAATATTATTTGTATTAGGGATACTGGAATGATTTAAGTACTATCTAATTTTGATTTTACATGTTCAAAACAGTCAGAGGAAATGGAGAGGAAAAGGATGACTGACTACCCAGCTTTGGGGCCAGGCAGGTATAAACCAGACTGGGGAACGCAGTCTGTAGTTTTGAGAAAAACTCTGGGAACTCATCACACCCCACTCCTACCAAAGTAACCCTACTCGGTGCGGTAGCTACAGGGTATATGTCAAACAACAGAGGCCTCAACCTCACATCTAAATTATAAAACATGGTAGTTTAACAACAAACAGGCTCAAAGAGCTCAGCATGGAAGTGAGACCACAGGATCATTCTTCACGCAGCTGTGGGCTCACACTGCCGTCTCAGCTCCTCCACACCAGGTTCAGGCAGACACATAAGGTGGCGGTGGCTCCTTGGCAGTGCCAGTCACGGCTGTGGCATCATCATATGGAGGCAGCAGCACCTAGAGAGGAGAGCCCAAAGTCAGTGTTTAAAAGCAGGCATCCACTCCCTGACTCTGAGGCCAGGCTTTAACTGAACATACACACAGTTAAACCCTTCCTATAATGGGTACTCCGATCTGTGACTCACTGAATGGACACATTTAGTATTTGAAATCTTAAAGAAGCAACTGGGGTGTGACTTCTGCCACCTATGCTGTCCGGCCACTTTCTACATGTGCCTGCATAGCCAGAGGGTATGTGTAAAGGAATAAGGGAGTGGTCACGAGTCACACTGTTACCAGCATGTCCTTAGGTAGATTATGTAGTCTCAGGTTTTACATCTGTAAAACAGAAAGACCTGAAGACCAGAGGCCTATAAAGTGCCTAGCCTTCTGCTTGGCATGAACCTGAAAGGGTAGGTGTTAGTCAGATGGCTGGAAGGAAACTAACAACACTGTGTGCTGACTGACAAGACAACATGTCTGTGGTGACATTTCAAGCATAAACCAGGACTGTTTGTAGTTATTCGCTACATGGAAAGAAAAATAATAACAGATGAGGAACACTGAAAACTCGGGTATCTGTCACCCTACTCATGACACTCCCACCGCTCACTAACTTAACAGGTTTCTCTTTTCCACTTGTAACTCCCATAGGCTGCACCGTTACCTCACCCAAAAGTGGGGCCTCGTGTTCACCTGGTGGTGGGACTCAGTAGGTGCAAACAACTCGACTCCTTTAGGTTGCCTCTGAGGTTTCCTCAGAGAGAAAATCAAGGTGCCCACTTAAGGCAGAAGTCCTCTGGATTGTTTTGACTCAACCAAAACTCAGAAGCCACAGCAATGGGAACAAGGGAAGTTGAATAAATTACTAATGCGGGCCTGGAGGACTGAGGACCTGATTAGGAAGGTGTGCTGGAACTGCTGGGCGGAAAGCAAGCTGTCCTGGCGGAACACAGCAGAGGTCACCTACTCTCAGCATCCTGCTCAAATGTTTCCCCAGGCTACCCACTGGGAGTACCAAGAAGCAGACGTGTCAGGAGAAGCCTGACACAGCCAGGTGCTGTAGCACCTGCTTCCTACTCAGACTCAGGGACACTGCCAACAAGACCTAGACACCCTGCAGGGCACACAGAACCAGGTAATCTTTCTTCCTATAGTGTATTTGACTGGCATGGCTCAAGGCAAGCAGGTGACAGACAACTGACAAGGACTAGCTGCAATCAAATTAACAGGCAATAGTGGAGCAAGGCATCTGACACCACATCCTACAAGCTGCTGTTCCTGTCAGCTTTGTGTCTGTCTCCTCCAAGGAGCAGATAATGGTGTCCCTCTGTCCTAAATACTTGACAAATCACTCAAGGGACAGGAACACCTGAGGTGCACTTGAGTCCGGGAGGCAAGAAGGCATCTGCAGGGCTCTCCTCACAGAGGGACCATCCACTCTTTGAGGGTACTCACATCAGCAACACAAACGCAGCGACCGTGCTGTCTGCTCAGGAGCATATGGCTTAGGAGGCAGAGCAGGCAAAAAATGAAGATGATCAAGAACAGGGGGGAAAGGAAGTGTACTGCAGACCAGTGCGGACCAGAAAAGGAAGTGTAC